CGGAGGCTGACATGCTTTTGACTCGTGGCATTTTTTAGTGAATGGACGCAACGTGCCGTGTTTTAAATTTGTAACTGCCATGTATTGTGTGAAAGCAGCCCTCCCAAACTTGCCGTGCCATAGATTTAGACTAGTTGGAACAGGTTCGGGCAATCATTAACAACTACTGTGGCCCAGTCTTCTGTGACAGCAAGTTTAAGCTGGAAACCCTAACCACAACAAGGGTTCAGCACTTATACTATGGGGAGCTGGTCTCCAAATATGGACTTCCCCACTTCTATTTACAATGCAATATTTGGCTAATACATGTCTTACAACTTTGCCACCATAAAACTACATAACCTAACTAGATTAGTGAAAAAGAAAAACTGCATATTTTAGGCAATATTTTTTATTCTATTCTACTTTTTATGTCACATTAGTATAACACTAATTCATTCCATGTGTATATACACATTTACTTTAATAATTTGAGGTTGCGTTTAGATGCTCACACCCAACCTTTAATAACTGACACTGATATCACATTATGTTGCTGTATCTTGTACACTTTGGGGTGTAGTAATGAGATGTTTTGTGTTTGGGTGATTACCTCCATCTTACGAGGCAGCATTGGATATCATCACTTTCTCTAATACTGCCTGGTAATGATGATGATAGTCATCTACAGACTGCAGCCAGACCAACCACTTCAGCAATGTTAGCAGCAACGTGCTCCTGGCCTTGGCCCCGGATCGGCTCAAATACTTGAAGCAGCAACAGAAATGGCTCTCAGGATCCATCTTACCTGACAGTGCTGGATTGTACGACTGTTGTTCTAACACTGTCTGGTAACGATGTTTTCTGGGGTGACTCTGTGGTCTCCGGTGTGACTGTGGGATAGTTGCCAATCAAATGTTAAATCCAAACATGTTAAGACTCCTTTGATCTCGTCATTGAAGGTAAACTTAATAAGCAGGGTTGGCTCTGTATCCTGGGGTAGCATGGCAGGAAAATATTTGTTGAGTGTGTCACTTTTTACTGTGAAGTTCTTTCTGAGAAAAGGTTAGTCTTTTGTTTACCATACACCTGTCTTTATAGATACTGCAGACCCCCCCCCCCCCCCCCCCCCCCCCATGTAAAAATAGATGATTCTTTCATTTTATTTTTAAAAACATTGTGAGAAGTCTATTGTTGAGGAATTCCCTTGGTAAATGAGAAAGAATAGATGTTTTGTGCAGTAATGAATCTAAGGTCAGTAATGTTTCAGTACTTTTTTACTTACTTCCCTGTGTGTTTTTTTTACTTTTATGGTAACCCCACCCCAACCAAGATAAAGAATAGCGGTTGATGGCTCCACCGGTCCTGCAGGGCCATATTTCCTTGTTCCCTCCTATGAACAGCGCTGGTATTTGTGTTGTGTGGCAGTGATTGGTTCAACTAGCCTTACCTGCGTGGCACATCCTGAAACTGACACATGAGCTCACCTGAGAGTGCATTACTGCTAACCCCCCCTCCCCCTTCTGCCAAACTGAGCCGTCTTCCTCCCAGCTTTCCAAGCTTTTATCCACAAATAGACAATAAATGACAACTTAGAACTTTAGGTAGACACAAAATGGAGTCTCTACAACACTGATGGACTTTAGGTAGTGTGCTTTTTATGTTAGTAAAAAACATTAAATAATAGTGAATTGAAGACGGTGGTGAACAATTTTCATCACTGTCTGGACTGAAATGTAAATTTAATGGGTAAAGCCTTCAAACAGACATGAAGAACAAAGGCAAATAATAGGCATGGAGCAAGTAGAAACCTAGTGTTTGTTTAAGGAGGGAGAATTGCCCCGCAAATATTGAGCCGCACCTTTATTTGCCCACCCAGCTCCATTATCCAAGCCACAGAAACATCAAATAGCTTTTCCCCCCTTCAGTGGTCCCTTTTTCTTCGTGTTGGCGGTACATATTTGCGTATTAATGTAGAGAATGAATTTTGCCAGCTAACTTTGCTTCTTTCCTTGGTCTGTTTACTCATGGCTTTCTTTGCATGCTTAGCCAATTTAAATGTACAAATGAATCAAAGTCCAGTGTAGTGTGTATGGAATCTGTGATTGCAACAAAAGAGGAACTGCTCATTTCAACCTGTTTCTGCTACTGTTCTCCAGCTCTCTTCTTCCTCTTTGCACAGGTGAAAGCTCAGATGTCATCCTTCCAGCCTGTTGATAGGCGTCTTACCAGACATGGTTAGATGTAATTATTGGTGTCTAATACTGTCTGGTAATGCCGTCCATTAAATGGCATTACCTTCTGCTCTCTTACTTCCCTCTCTCTGGCTCTTTGTGTATTGACAAATGGCAGTGCAGGGAAGCACATCAACATATTTATTGTAGTGGCAGATGGGGCTAAGAATGATGACTATGGAACTATGATCCTTGCACTGGAAGATTGATTTAGTTTTTGGGGTTTCTTCCACGTGACTTGAGTCAGAGTTTCTCCATTGAGCAGCAAAAGGAGAAGTTCCGTTCTAGTTGCAACTGGCAGCTGAATACTGCACTGTAAATTAGTTTCTAGCAGGACTGTTAATGTTATTGCCATATAAAAAATGTACTATAGAAAATGCTGTGACTTTTACCTGTTGAAAGATCTGCTTTCTTCCTTTTGCCACATTAACTGAATTCCTTTTGGGGACTGTCCAGGTACAGTAGAACAATGCGCACACTTTTTGAGACTTCATTATCTATGACACGCTGTACATAATGTTAACTGTATTTAATGTGATATGATGTTATGAAAAGTAAAACAAAATATTAAATAAAATGGGATAAAATATGAAATGTCTCTCTTGTTAATTTTAGAATCACTTTTTTAAACAGTTTATTCAGATCTCCTGTGCACTGGCCCTTTGTAGCAGCTTCTTTGGTCATTGTGAACTCTTCCCTCGGCAAGACCGGAATGCCAAGCCCCAGTCAGGTGTGGATCAGGTTACCACTGAACAGAGTTTCTTTTTAAATGCCTCAATTTACCCATGAGGTCCCCCCATCAGCTAAGCCCTCATTGTGTCCCAATCTATGGCAGCACACAGTAGTAGCTTGATAAACCGAGCACAAGGCGTGTTTTCACTGCCAGGCCCGAGCGACTTACAGTAGGCTGCTTTTGTTAACTGGAATCCATACACTTTGTCTATATGGTCACTGGTTACATTTGCAGACTTTTTTTTGTCCTTATTGCTCCCTCTTACAGTAATACACAGAGTCAATAGCATGGATTTGGTGTTTAATTAGGCCTGTTAGCTTAGGGGTTCTGTTGACTGGTTAAACTAGCTTTTTAATTTACTAGCTGATTTTATAATTTGGAACACAAACACAAAAACCATATAGCCGTTTAACATAACCAGGGCCCAGGACTCATAGATCTACCATGCTGGGGAGGCTCACATTCATGTTTTTTATTTTATTTTATTTATTTTTTACAAAGAAAGAGTCAGTCCCAGGTATTTATATCTCTTACACCGATATTACAGACATTTGGAATTATATATATATAAAACTTCCTAGTATACTAAATCATCATGAGCACAGCGATTCATGGGTGATAAAAAAAGATGGTTTCCTGTAACAGCTTATATAAATAAAGAATCAAGAATAAAAATAAGAAGAACAAAAGACAAAAGCCTACTTAATCATTAATCTCTGCCCAGCATTCACAGCAGTTACCTTTCACAGGACGGTGATCAAAAGACACAAATTGCATCTAATGGAACTACAATGCAGAGACACATGACTTTATTAAATCATTCTGTGTAGGTCTCTCTCTCTCTCTCTCTCTCTCTCTCTCTCTATATATATATATATATATATATATATATATATTTTATTATTTTTAATTTATTTATTTTTATTATGTGACAAATGTATGCTATTACAAGCCCTTTAAAATATGGGTGCTTGCTCAAACATAACTAAGACCAGTTTATACTGCACACTGTATAGTGACAAACAACAGGTGGGCAGCCACCACAAGTACTATCTCCACGCACCTATATTCAGACTCATTTTGCTTAATGTGCACCAAAATAGAAGTAAAATTGCTGCCAAAAAATCTTCATAAAAGTAAAGATTTTTATTTATTTATTAATTAATTGGGGAATGCTGTGTTAATGTAACCAAAACTAAAAAAACAAAACTTACATAGTATTAGTGTTTTCAGTGTAAAAACAAAAAGAGAGGAAGTAGTCTGACCTTTGTGAGCATCAAATACGAATGATAAAGTACAATTCTGAAATGCATGTCTTTATATAATATGCGATGAAAAAGTAAAACAAAATCCCAATCCATTTTATTCAGTAGTGTTACTGCTAACACAGGCTGATACAAATTGGACTGGATGGCTTATTTTGGCAATATGAATTATTATTATAAGTGATAAGTGATAAGGTGGAGCATTTATTGCTGCCAGGACAGGGTGGACCGTTTTTAACCCTTCCACTGTCTTGTCTATTACAAAAAACAGCACTACAAAAAGATATATTACATATAATTACTTATATAAATGTTCTTTAATTTCCTAATTAGAAGATATAGGTTACTTTCCACAAATTATCTACCCCCAAAAAGTGCTCTCTCAACCCCCATGGGTCTCATTTGATTCTCAGGTTATTGTTTACTTTGTGATGTACATGGTTTTACATTGCAGAACATTTGTCAGTAAAATATAATAAAAATAACCACTTAAAACAACTCTACAGTACACTAACAGAAGGTAACTGTAATTCGTTACTCTGACGTCACACCCCTGAATCACATTCCTGACTGGCAGACAGCCTGTAGAGGATTCCTGCACCGGTCTGTGCATGCTTGGTGTAGTCAGACCAGATTCCTGCACTACTGCCAGCTGCGGATGAGCAGGCTACATTCACATATATCTGGGTTTGCCACTGGGGTGGAACAGAAGCATAGCTGAGGCTAAATGGCTGTGACATACCCACAAATGTGCGGATGTACAGTAAACCTGAGAAACTGTGACACACAGTCATGTATGCAGAAGTCAGTCGTGAGAAGCATTGTTCATCCCTCTGGGAAATTATTTCCATTGCATTTACCCCATCCTAACTACTTATGACCAGTGAGTAGCCATACTGCAGCACCTGGGACCAAATTCAGTTCTAAGATCAAGGAAAAAGGTAGGACTGGCACCACTGAAATCTGTGTCCTGTATTATATTTACAGGACATGTTGTGATCCCAGCTCTCCAATCTCACACTTCTATGTAATGCATTTAAACATGAAAAAACAGTGCTACCAAAATGTTAAATTGCTTCACTGCTTGAAAAATGGTCTCAGTGTCAAGACACAGTGCACATATTAGAAATGTATGTTCACATTTTCTGTTCCAAAGAAAATAATGTATTTGATAATTGTGAGATACAGCAGGACAGATTATTATTAAATAAACTTCTTTAATCCTTTCTATGCAAAAGAGAAGGCCTACTCTCAAACCTGTGGCTCCTGAACAGTGTTCAACTCAAAAATAGTCTTATCCAGTCTATACACTAACCCTATTCTTAGAAAAGCTGGTCTGATGTTATTTTATGAGGGTGGCATAGTTCAAGTGAAAATTAAAATAAATAAGTAATCGATCAAGGTTTCCATGCAAAACCATTTGCTTTATTATTCTATTACATTGCATTCAGCTGTTTTCTGATGTTTCTGAAAGGCAGAATACTAGTAACTGTTACAATAGCTGTGCCAAAACTTTGTTGCAACATAGTCAGACGTTGCCAGCTTACTGTTTGAAGTGAAGTATGAAGCAACATAAAGATGGCAGATAAAGAAAATGAGATGTAATGAACTTCCCACCCCATACACACCTGTGAGGAACTGGCAAGCCAGTGTAGAACAGATGGCATATATTAATTAGACAGGGCGGTTTCAACTTTGAGGCTGTTTAGACCTGGCATTAAAGTGCATCTTGGGTGATCCGATCACAAGTGGACTTACCTCAGTACATCAGTTTAGTCACAGGAGTGGATTTTTACTCCTTCCCACTCCCACAAAAATACTCCTATCCCATCCAAGTCCCAAGACAGAGTCAAAAAAAAGTCTCGACTGAAAACTAAAGGGGAGAAAGCGTTTGCAGTTTGCAGTTTAGTTGATTTTATTTTATTCTATTTTATATATTTTGTTTTTACTTTTAACGTGTATTTTAGTTTCATAAGTTTTTTCTTGCTTTTATCATGTATTTGTTTTTATCTGTATTTTATTATTTTAGCATTTGATAAAGCATTCGATACTTTGAAACTGGTTCTTTGAAAAGTGCTCTATAAATAAAGTTTATTATTATTATTGTCTATGAAGATTCTCAGTCATCCAGGTCATAGTTATCCAACGAAGGTTAAAATCAAGGGCAACTGGACTTGGTTGAAGATACTGGAAGACGTTTCGTCCCTCATCCAAAGGACTTCTTCAGTTCTGACTGACTGGCAGGGAAACTCAGCTATTATTATTATTATTATTATTATAGTAAAATTGACTCCCATCCCACATGAATCCCACAGAGTGATCGGATCTCCCTTTAGCGCTCTACATGCAAACAAACCTGTAAATCAATTCCGTTTGCAAAGACCTGAATGTGATATTTCACACCACAAATGAGACAAGCATTAGGTTGGAGAAACGATGAACGCCACCGGAGTGTTTCTAGGGGCCAGGTCTCACTGATTACTGTACAAAAACACAACTTTATAACTTCATTCACTGATTTTGGTGAAAGTGGTCATATTTTATGACAAAAATGTTTTTCTAGTTTTCCCTCTGATGTCCTCCAGCTGCTCTGCCTCAACATTTGGTGATTTGTAAAGTTTCCTGATTGACACATAACTTTACTTGTTGCTTAAAGGGGCTGTGTTTAGGTTTTCACTGAAATTATTTGATAAATAAATTTTCACTGCCTTATTGTCAGTGGGCTCAAACCTCACTTAGAAATGAAGCACACGCCTGTTTTCTCTGTTGCTTGCATCAGCCACTATTCTGCTTTTAATGTGAGGACACCGAGATGGGTGCAACTCTGTGCTTGCTCCCGAGGCTCTCACAGACTACAGACTGCAACAACACCGCAGCTAATGACATGCAGTCCACTAACACCATAAAACAGCAACTCTTGCCCATTGCTCCCAGTCCAGGTAGAGTCTGCATGTTTTAATTGGACTGCTAGCTGCATGGCTAACTGAGTTGAACAACTACAGTAACTGTATAGTGTACCAAAGTCCTTATAGGCAAGTCTTGCCACTTGGCAGCCATCTTGGTAATGTCTCCGGGCAGCTATTTTGGACTAACAAGACCAGGCTCCTATCTGAATGAATAGGGAGAGAGCCAGAACTGCACTTTCATTGGTCACATTGGACATAAAAACTACATGAATAGAATCAGCAGTAAAATCTACTGCGACATCCACTCTAGCTGTCTTCTCAGATGTGCCAGGAACATCAAAGGAGACTCTTCACACCCAGCTCACCATCTGTTTTGCAAACTTCCTTCTGGCAGGCTCAAGGTCATCAGAACAAGGAGAAACCGCCTGAAGAACAGCTTTTTCCCAAGAGCTGTGGATATGCTGCTGCAATCTTGAATGTTGTTCAGGTAATGCCAAACTGTGCTTAACACACACTGAATGCACTTTATCCAATTGCTGGACCAGTTAGGTCTTAATACTAACATTGCTGTTGCTTTTTTTTTTTTTTTTAAACGTATGTTCTATTGCTTCATTTTATTATTTTATACAATCCTTTTATGGCGTATTTATTTATATATCTGCTAAGTTCAATGGTTTGTTCTAAAATGCCTTTCGTCGTTATCTATCTAAGAAAAATTGCTGAAAAAGTTTGACTACTTTGCCCCAAAATAAGGTTTAAAAAGCATTTTTCCCAACTATGCATGCGTCACAACTACCACAACTACCACAACTGCAGTCAAAGTAAAACAGACCCTTACGTCGGTGGAACCACACGATTGGCTGAAATATTTTTCCCGCTTTGGCTGTTAAAAGCAGAAGATTGACTTTCTAGAGGGAGGGGCGCCAACTTTGGCGTTACGGGCTTTCCCCATTTTATTGTGGATGTGATTGAGTGGCGTCTCTCCTCCATAGAACATCACTGTGCACAGTATACTGAGCTACAGTTAGCAGTGCATCTAGAATTTACTTTAGCAACAAGTATGTTGTAAGTTACTAAATCAAAGAGAGCTAAGGCATCAAGGATATCAGACAGCGTGTTTCGTCTGTAGTCCATCCAAGAGAATCCATTTTGCCTGTTGTTGTTGTTGTGGCTTCATCTTGTTTGTCTTGTTCTTCCATTTTAATATGACACAGTTGGTGCGTGAATAAGTACGTACTTTAACTCACACAGAGGAAATCAGTTGAGTGGGAGGTCCTTTAACGTGGGCCAGGACACAAATTTGCGTACACACTGCGAAAAGAATGAGGCCATATTTGGCCCATGTGGTCTAAATGATCGGAATGAATGCATCCTCAGTGCGCCTTAGGGGTATTCACACCTTACTTAGATCACCCAAAATGCATGTTTATGCCAGGTGTAAACAGTGCCTTTTTAGGCCCCATCCACACTACTGCGTTTTCAAATTTTGCTACGTTTGCACCTCCCGTCCAGACTAAAACGGAGAAGTTTGGAAACTCTGGCAACCCCGTTTTGCGATTGGTTTACAGTAATGTCACATTGGACAGACCACCAAAACAGCAAAATAACGTGTCTTTACAACAGAAAAAGTGACAAATTACCTGGAGATTCAGTATATGTCAGGGTCCAACTGAATGAAGGCAGAAACTCATCAACCTATATTTCTTTAATTCTTTCTACATAACGAAGCAGATCAGTTATCTGCAATGACATTTCAAATGTTTGCCTGACTGACCAAAGGATCTGAGCTCCTAATGGCTAAAAAGCATTATGGTTTTCATATTTTATGCTTTTAAGTGGGCCAAGACCTGTGAATCTGCATTTGCCGCCAGTCAAATTGGAGGGGCTACTTTCACCCAAAAAGGGACGGGAGCATGAGGCAGGGACAAAGTACACGGATGTGCTGCTCTCATCCGAGCCGCAACCGCAACGACTTTCCATTGGAAGCAGGAGTCTAACTAATTTCCTCAGTGGTAACTTGGGCTATGGCTTGGATATGTGGTTTAATTGTGACAACATGCTATAACATATACATTTATATTTAATAATATTTCCCAATTAGTTTTTTGTTTTGTTTTGCATCAGCAAAACCACAACCACTTGATCAGACTTGTCTAGTCAAATGTAATTTTGCAGTTTGGCAAACGTGGTGTGTTAGCTTTATGTCAGAAAACAAGCACCATGCATATTCACTGCATTAAGGGTGACCACACAGGCTCAGCCGGGTGGGACTGAGGCAGCATTTCTCCACCATCCATCACCTTATGATGATGATGTGAAATACCAAAGCTACATCGAGAACATGAAGTCTTTTAATAGCCATATCAGTAATTTTTACATCATGTATATCTCATGAATCTCATCTTTTCCCAATGTTAAGCTTCCTGGTAAAAAAATTGTGATGACTGATCAATAGCAATAGGGTTAGAGTGGATCTGAAAATGTCTTGTAAACTAAATAATGTCATGTAATGTAAACCATACCCTCAACAGCACTCAGATTTTCTGTGGAGCTGGTTATTTGAGGACAAAAATTGGCACAGGGCTTGTACAAAATTCCCATGTTAATATCAGTCTTGGTGAAATTTAATGTTTTTGTCACCAGTGGGAATGAGTGAATACAGACCCTGGGAACAAAATGAGACCCCCCCGACTTCAACAGCCCCCTCTGCTTTATCAGTGTAATTCTGTAAGGAGATCATGAATAGCAAGAGAGAGAGAGACCCTATTGAGACGAGCCATTCTTTACATCGTAACTTAACTCCATACCTTCCCCTATAACACCTTGACAAGGAGAATCCCTCCAAATGATGGGTTGTGGAGGGACACCATTGCTGCAGGCTGCATCCCTGTAATTGCTGAGCACTTCCTCGTACAGGAGGCAGTTGAGATGACATGGGAATGGGCGCGTCTCCAAAGACACACGCACTTTATGGTGTCACTGCCCCGAGACAGACAGGCACGCACACACACACTTCTCCTATAATGATATATTTTAATTTTTAAAGCCAAATTTTTTTTTTAATATAACTGAATACATATTTTGTTTCTCTGATGAAACACATTACCCTGTTTGTGAAAACCTTTACATATTTTTACCACTATTTTATGTTTATGGTTTGTTTGGGGTAAATAGTAGAAGAACTGGGTTGTTAGCATAAGCAGTGGTAGCGCCCATGAATGAACAGACAATGAGAAGAGCACCACCTGCAGAACCTTAAACTTAATTTATATATAAAAAAGAAAATGAAAGGAAAATTAAGGACAGTTCAAATGTGTCACACTTTGGTTCGATTGACAGATGGGGATCAATTCAAAATAGGAAAGTTATTAATTAACATTTGAATCATGAAATGTGTAATACAAAAAAGGGAACATACAGATAGCCACACAAAATACACAAGCATATATATATTCTCATATATATACACACACACACATGCACAAAGGCTCTTGGCAGATGGTGAACCATGAGGTTGACAGGGCTGTAAAACAAGCCCGTTCTCTTTGTCCACCTACGCAGCACTTTGCACAGTGTGTCTATCAGATGGCAGCTCTTTATCAAGGTGTGGCTGACACTGGCTCCACACAAAGCTCTGTTAAACAGGAATATAGTAGGCCTGCTTCTAATAACTGGGGTGCTGTGGCTGGGCTCACATCACTGTCTTGTTCTTATCGCTGCCATTTTGTCATTCATTTCATCAGACACATAAATTTTACATTTACAGCCATGTGTGTAAATGACTGAACTGAACTGAAGACTGCCTGGTGACTATTGCTTCCTTCTTGTAAATTTAGTCATGCGTTAAAACACATAGGCTGGTGTGATGATGCTGGTGTTTGTATTTCTTTGATATGAGCCATGGAGGAAAAGTTGACATTGTTGTTTATTGGGATTGTTAAATACATACTCAGTTACAAGCAAACCAGAGCGTTTAGACCAAAGCACCTTGTTTAACATGACAGGAATTTGGTAACCTCAGGTTACAGCAGGTTAGAGACTTTTAGTTATGGGAGAGAAGCAAGAACTTTTGTGGTCTTCATGTAAGTTAAAAAAACAAATATATATTTTTTTTGTGTAAATTTTTTATTCTGCTCAACCAAGAAGGTTGGTCAGCTGTCAGCATCAGTCTCTTCTTATACACACAAACCCTTGCATTTAACAGTGTAGCATATACACCCTTGCATTTTTGGAGGCTGTTCCCCTTTCATTAGTGACTCAGTTCAGTTCTTGTCTGGCATAACAATATCGAGTTTGACTGACCTGCTATAAATATGTTCTAAATACTCTGCAAAAAATACACTCTGCTAGTTGTGAACTACATTGGTGTTAGGTGTATGTGTCATTTCTGGTTAGCTTACTGTATGTGTAATGATATGGTTGCATGGATGCTGGATCTAATAGGCATCCACCCCTGTCAATTATCAGACTGTTGGGAGGAAGAGAGGAGATTATGCATAATTACCAACTGTGGCTGGGCCTGGGTGTTTCCTCACAGAGACAAAAAAATGATAAATGGATTTGCAAGCAGACAAATGCTATGTTGCTCAACTGCATACCTGCACTGTAAAAAATGATCTAGGTGGTTCAACTTACAACCTTAAGTTCAATTGCTGCCTTAAAAATGTGAGTAAACTCAACTTTAACAAAAGCTTTTTTTCTTCTCATGATGTTACGTTATACAATTTGTTTAATTAATGATCATTTATTGAACTATGAACCTGTAAGTTAAAACAACTATCTATATTACATTGTCCATTCAAGGAAACTTGCTTTCTCTACAAGTTTAACCCACTTAACCAAATTAATACTACTTTCCATTTCAAGTTAAGGGATTTAAATTTCAAATTTGTTTCAGCTTCAAGGGCCTTGAAGACAGACCACGACAATGCTGTTATTTTCAATGACTTGCGACGGGGCAGGGCAGTTGTTGGTGTCCCAAGAACACCACTATCTCTATCTGTATCTGATAAACAAATAAAATTTTCTGTATCTGTACTCAGAATGGGCGGGGCTTAATCTATAAATGGGCTGGATTAACTGGAAGTTATTTAAGCCTGAAATATACTATATTTATTAGAAAACTATTTACAGAACAGCCTCAGGATTAAGATTCAGAGCAATGTTTTTGATTACAATAGTAATAGATTTTTAAAAAAAAGGTTCCTATATTTATAGTTTATAACAAAACAGATACTGACTTAGTTTACTCTGATGATGATAAAAAGTATCTGTACTGAATACTCGTTTCAACCGAGTACTCGCTAAACCCTAATAATTAGTTAGATTGTGTATATGTTTTTCTCGAACTCAAAAGACGCAGCACCTTGGCAATTTTTTCTCTCTTGCTCCAATCCTCGCACTCTTGCCTTTATTTTCATCTGATAACTGACATACCTAAATTCAATCAACATGACAAAATTGTCAAATAGTCAACACAACGATTAATGCAAGTTTAATTTTCTAAAACTCATACAATTGAGTTCAAAATCCAAAACTAAAAAGAAGAAGTAAGTTGACATAACTAAATGGGTCTATGATTTTTTTCACTGTGCCTCTTGGCACTAGACAATAATTATTGATGATGTCTGAAAAATAATGAATCAGATGGATTAATTAAAATAAATTGTAATCAGTTCAAGTAAAATAATGTCAGGATGCTTTAGGTTTAATCAAGTGCCCAAGTAATTTTACAGCTCAAGTTATTTTGAATCTAAAAGTTTTTAAAGTGGAATTAATTTTGATGTTTTGCACTAATTATTAATTATTTTATCCCCTACTGCATTTTTTTTTTAACCAAATCTAAAATTTACAGAATATACAGAACTAAAGAACTTTTCCAGTTTACGTATATAAATAACCGTTCAGGATTTTTATTGTTTAAAATGTAGCAGCATCAGAAACAGTCAACCAGTATACATTTTAAGGTGGATACCATTATATTTACATTAAAACATTATGACTCTTTACAAAATAAATGTTACCTGTAGAAAATAATATTTTACCTTCTGGTATAATGGTATAATAACCCGGAAAACTGCCAATCCATTTTGATTGACACTCTGCTCTTATGTTACCATAGGGTTCGCACAACAGAGGCTTACAGGCAATTAATATTGAATGAGGCTAAACCTAGAAGTGGGTTGGGTGTGGGATACATAATCTTGAGTAGTTAGTTTGTCTTGAGCTGCTGTTGTTGTAAGATTCAATCTACAAGTGACAACTGTTGCTAAGGGTCCCATTACCCAAGTAACCAGTGATTGTTTACATTGGTCAATTCACTCAGTTTGCTTACATGCAGTGTGACAGACTATGGCTGATTTCAGTGGGATAATCTGCTGACAGACCATGTGATTTTGTCTCTGTCAAGTCAGTCCTTCAGTCTATGGGTTTGCAGTTGGACTACAAGGTTGAGCGCACATGCCAGAAGACGAAAAAGCTTGGTAGGTTTCCATGGAGTCTGGCTGTCCGTGTGTGTGACGGTGGAGTTGCAGGTAAACCTCTTTGCCTCTGAATGTAGCTACAATAAGGTCATAGTTCTGCTTCTGTCTTCTAATACAAATGGCACATTTACTTCAAGATGGCATAATTTCTTCACATAACGTGTCTTTCAATTTTCTCAGGTTTGCCAAATGCTATAGGTGTGTCTCCTATAACATTAGAACTATACAGACAAAAACAAGGTTTAAAGTCTAAAGCTGCTAGCAAGTGCTAGCAAAGCCAAGAGGCTGAAATGTTCATTACACCAAACAAAACTAGTATAAGCAACATGTCTAGCTATATCTAAACGAAGAGTTTTATCAGTAGTGAGCCTTAACATGTAAGATTTGTTTTGGACAGGTAATGGGGTCATTCAATGACAATTGGACTGTGAAGGTGCACATTTCAGTGTGATGGTGTTGCCAGAGGAAAGGGACCACCACATTGGGAAATACAGATGTCCATGAGCCAAACATAGTTGTTCATGTGACAAAGTTTTAGAGGGTCACCAAGATCATGAGGAATCATCCTCTGAATACCATGCTGACATGCTCACAATGACAATATTAAAATGCTGATATTTAGCATGTACTTTTAATGTGTTAGCTCACTAACCTTTGCTAATTAGCTCAAAGATTATCCAACATGTGTTTTGGGAGTACAGGTGAGGATGGTGGTAATGTAATTAATAAAAAATAAAACATTTTACCTGATGATTACAATTTATCCTGAGGGGGACATGAATGTCTGTACCAAAGCTATGGAGACATTTTTTGTGTGAGATATTTTACTGGATTAGTGAAAACTATGGAATATGATGTTACCAGACGAAAGTCAGGGGATCAACAAAGTCAATATGATCCATCCTGCAGGGACTGTGGATGTCTGTAAAACAACCCATCCAGTGGCTGTTGAAATATTTCAGTCTGAACCAAAGTGATGGACCAACCTACCAGCAGACTGACATAGCCATGCTATGCCAGCCAAAATGTTAGCATGGTTAATGAAAAAAATCTTGTGTGACCGTACCAAACATGTAAAGACGTATTAGTGAAGGGTAAAGTGGTTCTCTCCTTCTTCTCCTCTCATATTTCACCAAATCTTCAGTGTACTCTGACTCACAATACAAAACGTTTCATTCCTGTCCTGGCTTATTTTTGAATACAGTGTCCCTGCGCACCAAAAAAAGGTCTATTGGAAAATTTCTAGCCATCACCAACAATCTACAAGTGCATAAGGTCATGTCATCTGAGTGCTGGGTGGAGCCCTGCAGTGAGGGCCAGGCACAGGGGACCGGACTGGAGAAGCAACAAGGGGAAGAAGTGAAGAAAGAGGAAGTGGAGGTTCCCTGCGGGGACAACCAGCCGGTAGGAAGCCTGAGGCAGGAGGAGCCAGGAAGAGAACGGCCTTCATCACCTGACCTGGAGCAGGTCCAGAGGGTGGAGACGCAGACTCAGGAAAAAAGAGAGAGGTTTTCCCATGAAAGCCGGGATAGAGGGTCAGGTTTGTGGAGGTTAAAATGGGACATCAAATGTGATGTCTTTTGTTGTTATTTCCATATGTTGACTCTTTATTGTAGCATAACAAAATACAATACATCACATTACAACGCTGTAAAAAAAAAAGGCAATTCACTTCCATTCACTTATAGTCTTTGGGGCTGATGGGATTACTTCCCAGAGTTGTTGTAATCCATATAAATTCATCAACACAATTGAATGTACACATGATAGAACTTAGGTTTATGTGAATGTATGAGAGACTGTGTGCCTGCATGATTTCTGTGTGTTTGCATCTGTAAAAGTATCAGGGGTGTGCCTTGGGGAGCGATACCTCCGGAGGTCCCTCCCCAGGGGCTTATCATCCTGCTCCTACCTGGACAGGGAGCGGCAGGTAGAGGAGCCCCGGGGGCCTGGGCCTTTCTACTTCTTCGGAGGAGCCAATGGGGCTGAAATGTAAGTAGAGAAAGAAGAAATTTAGAATATGAAGGGTAATAAGGTGTTGCATTTTAGGTATTTCACAAATGAGATCACATCTGAAGTGAATGTCCAATCCAGTTTCAAAATATAAAGCTTTAGAAAGGTGACGACTTCTAAGGAGAGATTTGCTTTCATGTTAGCAGAAAACATCATTGATCTCCTGTGTATTTTCAGTCAAACCCTAGTTTTTACATGTGACCCCGTGCTTCTGGATTTTTGTGTGATTGATTTGATCTGGGTTCTTTTCCTTTAGAGTGAGCAGTTACTGTGAAAGCAGGGGCTGGAAGAGGATTTACAACAAGTGCAGGGAGGATTTCAAACTCAAGTGGTGTGAGACTAAATCACCTGCCAACTACTGTAACTTCAGAGAAGGTTTAGTAATTACTATATTAATCACAGGACATAATGTGAATGCTGTATTTTACAATAAATTTTTAAAATGTACCACAGTGTTACCTATCCTCAGGAAATGCCAAAGAAAATGATAAAAGGACATCTATATCTCAAATATAACCGATGTTTCGTTACTTGTTTCATGTCTGATTTCATTTTGCTTTTAGTAGGAAACAGGTTTATTGCCTTCCATTGACAGAAAGAAAACTTAAGATCCTCATGTATTTTTCTCAGGTGAACAGTTAGTTTACCAGATTCCCAACAACAAGGTGCTCACCACTAAGATCGGCCTCCTCAGCAGTCTACGTGAATATGAGCGGGTCAGCAGCAAAGTCAACCATGGTCGTGGACTGAGGTGAAGCGGACAGCTGTATTCCTGCTGTCTTTGTCTGCTATTCGTTTTTGCTATTCAGACAGGTTGTGTGTATTAAAATCAGACAGATATATCAGTCTATTTCCTTCACAGAATTTCAAGCTGTGTGAAAAATCTCCTAGCAACCATCTGGTACCATCATGGATAGACAATTTAATAAACACAGTCACATTGCATCATCAGAAATCAGGCCTCCGTTTTCAGTCACACAAGCTTGTGTGACATTGAGCATGTGTGTGTCAATTATATAAACTATTTCAGTGGTTAATTATTAATTGTAAATTAATACATTAATACGCTGGACCATACAGGGACAGTAGTAATACTGTCTTAGCTTATTTACAACAATTCCGACATACTTTATATCCTTCTGGGAATTTCCCAAATCATACTGTAGTGTTATCAGTTTCTGAATGTCTGTGGCCTACATTACAGGCCTTGGAAAATTAATTTTCAGATATGTCAAACTCACTTGAGTCAATCCGTCACAGTAAACACATTGGGCTTTAAAATCAATCTGCACTAAATGACAACGTAACTAAACATAATTATCACTGTAATGGATTATCAAAGTTATCATACTGTTGAATGCATTAATAAGAAAACATGACTGTATGAAAGGTACACAATTAAACATGTACAACACTTTTTTGGTTTTAACATTTATATCTAAAATAACTTTCTCAGCCAGTGTTGATTTTCAATATATGACACTAATCTTGCCCAAAAGGCAGTTTCAAACACATGAGGACACGCAAGCATTTATTTGTTGTGTTGTACTCCACAGGAGCCTGAAAATGGAAGAGTTCATTCCCACTACCTTCCGCATGGATGTGAGGGAAGAGAGAGAGGCTTTCTTTGCCCAGCAGGAGGGTAAAATGCCCAAACATCTTATCTACATTAACCTCTAACAAATTAATATCCGGATGAAACAACAATACAACACAGGTTCAACTGGATTAGTGTTTAGTTAGCGTGCTTCAGAACAGAATAATTTGTGCTTGGCAGTGTTAAGACAACAGTTGCCGTGGTGATTGTTTAATCAAGAGGCTGAGGATGTTGGAAAATAATGCACTTCACCTCCCATAAGCCCTGATAAAATCACCAGGGGAACATACTGTTGCCATAGAGATGAGTCAGCAGAGGGCAGGTCTGAGACACGAACAGAAGGAGAAACGCTCAGCAGAATCGCGATGTAGAGCTGCTGCAGCACTGGACAGGACTAAGACAAATAAAATACATTTAATATTAAACCTGATATGTTTTTCCTCTTAATTTTGAGGACTGGATATATGAAACGATCCACTGGTTTCTGTGTTGTTTAAAGACACAGCATTATGATAAGTGGTGTGCACAGGTTATGACAAACATGGTTATCACTAAGTAAACAGGAGAAAGACAGACAGCTGGGAAAGATCTCTCGGTGACGGATGAATCTGGAAAAGAAGACATCAAAAGAACTGTACGGATCAGACCACAGTAATAGAGAATAAAAAAAAACTGACAACGTGTGTCTGAAATCCCCAACCATTCAGTCATTCACTGAAGTAAACACTGAATATTTTATTCTGGAATGAGTTGTAAATTGAGATTTTGGGCATCTGCAACTTGCACCATCAATGAGAGTTGTGTTGTCACACACACACACACACACACATACATACATATAATATATAATATTTAAATATGTATGTATAGAGTAGTATGAGTTGCAACACCTCAAAGTGAGATTACTTCCATTACAAGTAAAGGTCTTACAGGTAAGAGTTACACATGTTTTACATGTAAAAGTACTTATAGCCCCCAACATAGTGTTTAATTTTGGATTATTACTGATTTATCAACGTGTAAGGAGCATTTTTATTTTTAAGGCTGGTTTAGGTTGTTAAGTTGCTAACAAAGCATCATATTTTATAAGTTTTGAATGTTCATATACAGTATAAACCTGAGAAGTCTCATTCACAGAATCTCTGAACACAGTAGGACTATATATTTTATACCTGGATATGTCATGAGTTGATTTACCTGATGTGTATATGTCATAAGTTTGTTGATTTATCTGTTGTAACTTTATGACTGTTGCCAGGTGTGAGCAACAATGATGTGTGGATCTGTAAGCCCACCGGTCTGAACCAGGGCAGAGGGATCTTTCTGCTGAAGAGCCAGGAGGACGTAGCCGCCTTAAGACTTAAGCTGCAGCACATGGAGGACAGCAAGGCCAGCAGGAACCTGCGCCACCATCAGCCTCAGGCCCGCATTGTCCAGTAGTGGGTGAACATATGTAACTATTAGGTGACACATTTTACATCTCCAAAAAGGCAACTGTCATGACTGTTTGCAGAGGTTTTTACAGATAAAGCCATTTAATCCTTCAGTTCTTAAATATATTTAAATCTCCAAAACTGCAGTTATGATGTTTTTACCTAAACTTTGAATAAAAAAAGAGTTAGTGATTAGGTGCTTTAAAAACAACATTGTCATACTAAGCGTTGGTAAACTCCAGTAAATGGGTATTCCACTTCTTGAGAATATTATTTCTTACACTGCTTTCAGTAAGTCTGTGTATACAAATGCTCACAGACTATTTAGGAAAATCTAACTTGGCAATTGTCAGTTATATTCCTCAACATCTCCTTGTTGACAAATGACAAATGACACTTTCCATAGAAACAATGTAGCTGTTGAAATTGTCTTGAAAGTAAGGTGACATTTTGCCCTCAGTTACATCCAGAGGCCGCTGCTCCTGAAGGGGAAAAAGTTTGATGTGCGCTCTTACCTTCTGATTGCCTGCACTGCACCTTACATGGTCTTCTTTCGCCATGGATATGTGCGACTGACCTGCAACCTCTACGACCCCAGCTCCAGCAACCTCTCTGCCCACCTGACCAATCAGGTACACCTTAATACTGTACAGAATCTGCCAAAACATCCATGTTGAACTGCCAAGTCACAGTTTAAAGGATAGGTTCACAATGTTTCAAGTCTGTAGTTAGGTGCCCATATCAAAGTTGAATCAGGTGGTACAGTAATCATTCATTCTGTTACTTCTGGCCTTTAAAGATCAATTTCATATATGCTTTAAATGCATCATCCATTATAATAATGGAGAGATATTACATCCCATCCTTCTTGGATTACTTGACAGAGAGGTTGAATTGCTCAAGCATAAGCTGTGGCAATATCTGTCTATCTGCTTCAGCTGACTGCTTCATGTGTCTCTGGTCCCCCTGCTGTCCTTCTCCAGTACATGCAGAAGAAGAACCCCCTGTACAGCCAGCTAAAGGAAGACACTGTGTGGTCCATGGAGAGCTTCAACACCTACGTCAATGACAGGTTTTGGGTTGCCAAGGGTCTGCCCAGGGACTGGGTGCTGGGGGCCTTTGCAGTGAGTGCTGCTGTGTCTTGTAGCTCTTTGGGACCAATTACCATTATAATGATGGTTGTTGGCGCATGCAGCTAATTGAGATTGTGGTTAGCCCTGTATGATCTCATTCCTGTCCGAGAGTACATCATGATTTCTAAAATCAAATATCACTTGTGCTGTTTGAAGGTTGTTTCTCTGCATAGTGCCTTACAGTAAAACAAACTGTTCAATGCACACTTCTTCTTTTTGTTTTATATAATGGTTTAAATAATAAATGGTGAACCTCAAACCACAAACCCTGACAGTGACACGTATTAAAGTATATACAACAAACTGCAGTGTGGCTGTTTGGTTGAACAGAAACCTGCTAACATAAATCTATCACATAACAATTCTATGCATCATGGCTTAATCTATTATTAATGAGTGGCACTCCACCAATTGTAAATGTCAAAGTCAAGTATAATGTATACATGTGTGCCTGTATTACAAGACGCTATCAAGTTCCATTATGGGAAGTGTGAGATTGAGTGTTTTTGGATCTTAGATCATATTATATACACCGTGACATACTGGTACTGTGATAAAACTTAAAGTTGCACTGATCAATATTTTTAAATACTCTACTAAGAGCTTCTTATAGCTTGTTGTTTTGGTTGTCAACAGACAGACAGTGAGCTATATTCACTAAGTGGCCATACACCTCCATATGAGTGATAACATTGCAGCTGAATGTGGAACTAGCCAGTTGTTTTTTTTAACACATTTGCTGTAACAACTTTATATGGCGATAATACTTCAATGTTGTGTTTGCCCCTTGTTCTTCTTCCCCCAAGTGGAAAAATGTATAAATGCAGCTAAGTTGTTTAAACAAAAAGCCAGTCAGGAGGAAGGACATTATCAACTCATTTAAAAAGAACAGACAAAGAAATCATCGTTCTATCCAACTACACATCCCCAGACATTATTATGAAGAGCTGCGGACCTCCACAATGATAAATTGACTGACTGATTGTTTCCTTTGTTTCCTTTCCATACATCAGAAGCGCATGCAGCAGATCATGACACAGTGTTTCTTGGCAGTCAAATCCAAGTTAGACTGTCGGCTGGGCTTCTTTGACTTGATTGGCTGTGACTTCATGGTTGATGAGGACTTCAAGGTGGGTGAGATTAATGCATTAATTAATGTTGAACACTGACCACTATCAGTGTTCAACATTAATTAATGCATTAATGTGCATGTTCTTATTGTCTCTTCATGTGTTCCTAACAGGTGTGGCTGCTGGAGATGAACTGTAATCCAGCTCTCCATACGAACTGTGAGGTGCTGAAAGAGGTGATACCCAGCACAGTTATGGAGACACTGGGTGAGCTCACATTATTACCAGCTGATCACATCTCTCTCTCTCTCTCTCTCTCTCTCTCTCTCTCTCTCTATCTCTCTCTTTATCTCTCAATTCAGTTCAATTCAAATTAGCTTTATTGGCATGAATGTGTAACAACAATATTGCCATATATTTTTATATATATATATGAAAACAAACCTTTAGGTTCAGTAGATGTTTATAAAGCTAAACAAAACCAAATGGTTCTTACCTCTTTTTGCTGTAGGGATGGTAAAGTAATTGTTCCCTTTATTAAATATTAACTATTTTTTTTGCTCAACAAGCTGATGTGTGATACCATCCAACATGTTGTTTTTATCTGCTGTCACTCCTTTATGCTCTTCTTTAGATTTAACTCTTGAGATCTTCAACAAGTGTCGTCTCAGGCAGAGGATTCTTCCTTTGGCCAGTCAGAGGGAGTTTGTGCTGCTGTACAATGGAGTTTTTCCTCCTGGTTCAGTGTTGACCCGCAGCAAGAGCAACTCAAACAGTGAATTAAACCCGAAAAGCACCAAAAAGACCCAAAAGACTGAACCGAGAAGATGTAAGTCAGGGACAGTGGGCAGAATCATGCCCAAAGCATCCATTGATAATTCTGTGAATGTCTCAATGAGCAATGATGGAAGCAGTGGTTCAAAGTCTGACCATTGTTCCACCACCTCCACTACCCCCTCACCTCAAAGCTCTCCGTCAATGCATGGACCTTCACATTTACGCAGCAGCAGCATACAGAACCCCAGGCCTCGGGTCGAGCTCAAGCCAAGCAAATGCACTTTGCATCATCATTTTAAGGCTGCAGATGAAGTGAAGCACTCCAAGACTCAGCAGAAGACGAGGATCATTATGTCCCTGTCATCACCAGCACTGAGCGAAGGGATCTCCGTCTGTGGGTCTCCAGAGACAACGACACCATTCCTTTCTCACGCTGAACCTCCTTTGTGTGGGAACAAATGTGAAAGAGGAGAGGAACACGATGAAGAGGGGCTCGGAGCGGACGCACAGAGCTTAGTTTCTGAGACAAAAGAGAAACTGTGAGACATTATATTAACGTCGTCAAAAAAAAAAAGAAATCTGACATCTGGTGCTGTTTTGCTCAGAGAAATGCTGATAAATGCTTAATGTGACAATAAAGAATTGATCAGTTGAATAATGATAACCGGGTTTCATTTTGCAGTTAGCTGTAAGGAATAGGCAACCTTTGATATTAGTTTAAAAACTGTTTATGCTTTCAATAGCACAAATCAACATCTGTGGCAAATGTCAAATGTATGCATTAGTCATCTTACATTGAGTGGCATCACTTCACAGAAAGAAGAGAACAGCAGAACAGCTCTGAAACACTCAGACATGATTGTGTACAAACCCTCCCACCATCGTAATGTAATTCTAACCAGGAAGCTCAACAGAAGGCGCCACTGTACAGTTGTTGTGGCTTGTTGTTTTGACTGCAGCCCTTCACCTCTGTGTTTCCCAACTCATAATTATCTCACTTGCCCATCCATATTCAGGCTCAGTGCATGTAAACACAAGCAGGCATGGTCCCATCTTTCCCAACAGGATGCTTGCTTCATCCACATGCTGCTTAACAAGGAGGCTGAGTGCATCAGAGAGCCTGACTTATCAATATAAAGAGGTGTAATATTTGTAGGAGGTGCGCTTTTCTACCTATAAAAGGTAAGCTTGTCTTTGAATGACATTATAAGCAGTTTGTATTTGTCATGCTGAGGCGTCAGTAGGTTTCCAGTCTGAGTTCAGTGTGTAAAACCAAACAGAGGAAACAGCTCAGTTCTCTGCAGAAAGCCAACTGACAGGAAGGAAGGAACAACTACGCTGCAACTCGATAAAAACTTCTTGTCACTTTTATCTTCAATTCCTCTTCGGGAGCTTTAACACCTTTTGTTTTCTAGAGAAATATACACTACATAGCAAAAAGGGGGAACTAGAGATTACCAGCAGCCCCCCTCCTCTTCTCAGGCGCATAATATCCTCTTGTGGACCCAATCAGCCTCTGTTTTTATGTTATCTCTTTGGTTTTAGTGTGGCATACACACACGCAGTGGGGATGATTGTCTGGGCAGATGGTGCTCAGTGTGTGGACTAGAAGCTGAGACCAGGCGGAGAGGGACAGACTCGTCGTCCATCATGGGATGCTGCAGTGTGACCCAGAGGCATACTGGAGTGGACGAGGTTGGCCCTGATGAGATAGAGCTCCTGGAACTCTCTGGAGACAATTTAGGGTAAGACACAAATACACATTCAGAGTTTAAAGCTAAGAGCCGTTCAAAAATAGAATAGTATTGGGGTGGGGAATTTACACAATTCTGACTTGGCACTGAAATAAGAGCTACAGGAATATCAGCATTACCTCATCTTAAAATGAAAAAAAAAAAAATTCTTTAATGTGCTTCACCGCTTTAGAGAAAGAGTATGTTAAAGTCTTGTATAAATGTGGTTTTGTGTAGGCCTATTGTGAGTTCTGGAGGAAGAAGCGGTGACAGTGAAGTGAAAAGAGCACTTTAGCAGCTTCTCTTTTAACGTCTGTGGTTTTCTTTGGCATATCATGCATCATGTTTTGGAGCATATTCAATGATACCATTTCCAGGATGTACATACTGTATGTTTGTTTTCACGGAGTAACAGGATGTGCATTTACACAGACAACTTCCAGGTACTGTTAAGAAACAGTTCAGTTATAAACCCTCTAAAAGTGATGATAACACCTGCAGAACAACATATTACATCAATATAATTTCCACCCATCAGACCAACAAGGCAGGAGAACTAATTGGCTCCTATTTACCAAACATGAATGTGGGAACTCAGTGATGCTGCACTGATGTGATTAGCAGATTACTATAAGACAATGGCTGTAGCATGGAAGGGTTTAATACAGAGCCAGGGCGGGACAAGTCCCCGCTCTTTATAAAGCTGGGGGGATTACCAGAGGCTAATCACAACACTAGCTGCCAGTCCTTATGTGTGACTGTTCAATGATTACTACTGGACGTCTGGTCACAGTCCACTCATCTTTGTAATATTTAACACAGACAAGGATGTGTTTTAAAAAGATGCACACTCGCATGTAGATCTACACTCAATCAGATGTGTGTTGTGTGTGCTGATACAAATGTACATACACAGCTTTTTCCAAATTCCATACATAGCAATCAGTTAAGTTATAAAGTAGGCCAAATATTTATTGTTGTAGTGTACTGATTTTGACTATGGTGATATACATGAAATGAATATCCTTGTGTTTACAATCCATGTAATTTACAGTGAATTTGAAGCGGGACCTCTAATGAAATGTATTTCCAAAGATTTAATGCTCCTTGAACCTTCCACACATTTTTTAATGTTTCATTACTTTTTATTTAATCTTTATTTTAAAATATATATACATAGAGTGTGGACCAATATCACATACCGCAGCTATGCTAGATGAGCCTTTTTAAAGAAATAGGCAAAACTCAAGAAAATAAAAATAACAAAAATGAATTTCAGTGATAAGCACCAGATCATCCATGACCACATCCTGCCTCTTTAAAAGTTGTTTCAGCTTGAGTTTAAATGATGATAATATTAAAATTAAAGATGTTTGGTTTCTTAAGAATATGGCGCTGATGGAGTCTTATCTGCTTCCCATTCCAATTTTTTTTTTAACATTATAGTTACAGATATATCATCTATTGTGAGAAGCTCATCTGTTTCCTTTGTGCATTGCCTTATAGGACAATAGTTTACATCCACATAATACTCAAAAATTAACCATTTCTATTTTTTTCTGTGCATATGTTTGTGTTTTGACTTTACCTAATTTTGTGAACATTTTTATGTACACCGACTTCAGTACACCTAGTATTAGTATGTGGTACATACATAAGTATGAAATTGGGACACATATTATGTCTGTAATGGACAACAGTAACAAAATATGCTGGTAAAGGGTAAGCAGGTGGGTCTGTCTCTGCTCCGACTACTCTAATCTGATTATGTCTGACTGGTGCTGGGCTGCAGGGGGGTCAGACAAATTGTGACAAGTCTTATTGCTTGTTAATATCTATTCATTTTCTTTAAGGCTCTCCAGGGATGTAGCCGGTCTAAGCATTCACTATTAGGGAACACAGGCAGTCTCTGGACTGCAAAACAGAACCAAGCAGAGTATGCACTTTAACATTCAGACTTAACGTGTGTTTATTCAGGGTGTGGAGTCTGGGAGAAACCAGGCTTCAACTTTCAGTAAGGACCAGCAGAGATGAGCAGCAGCAGCAGCAGCAGCAGCAGCAGCAGCAGCAGCAGCAGCAACCGCCCCCGCGCTACCCTTCAATACGACGTCTGGAACAAGAGGTCACTATGTCTTTGTGGCTGTGTGTTGTGTAGGACAGTGGCAAAGACACAAGTGGAAACTATGTTATGCACTTTTCACATGAAGAACATAACGCGTAGTTCACTTTTAGCACACTTTAACGCTTTTTAGTGCTCAAGCAGAGTGTTGCAAGATGTGCCTCACATCAATATCAACAGTTTCCACTCAGTGCTGTTATTTGTGTTGAGTCCAGACACACCCTGTATACATACTGTGAATTTCCATGACAAAAGTGAGATTCTGCGTTCCCTGTTTGGTGTGATTCAAACTTTACAGGAAATAAAAGAGGGAGGAAACACTGCCGCACAAACCTGAGTTTTTCTACTTCTTTCCACTTGAGTGAGAAATTGTCTAAATATGAAGCATCCAAACCTCCACAGAATAACCCAGACAGTTCTCTTGCATTACCTCGAAGAAGAGACACTGTTTTATTTTTAGAAATCAAAAATTATCTGAACTGTGCAACGTTTTGCTCAAATATCAATGACAAGAGGCTTGCAAACTATAATGCATAATAGAGTAATGACTCTAATGCATGACTCATCACTCTGTGAAACATGTGGCCACAAATAAATACTGATGGAGTGGAGTGACTGATGGGAGTGATTTGAGAAGGCACATGTGTAAAAAACTGTTAAAAATATACATAATGCAGGATCGATTACAGTGTAAATGTTTAAAACTGCAAGTTATAATCAATAGATATGGGCTGATACAGTTTTGTGTCTGTAGGTGATGCTGTGGGGCAGGAGCAAAGACGAGTTGCACCACAGGATTTACTCCCAGCAGCCAATAAGGGAGTGGGAGGGCCAACCAGCCCACATGTATGGAGAGATAATCCATTCCTCTCTGATGCCTCTCTACGACAGCTACACACAGGTAACATAGCACTGCAAACCGGAATCAGCTGGGAGTTATGAGGTGTGGCTCTGTCATCCTAAAGGGGCGAATGCTAAAACACAAACTTAACACAAGCACAAAGTTCTGTCTGTCAAGCAACAGCTTGTACTAATAAGTAGTCAGACAGGTCAGTTTTATTGTTGTGAACATAAAAACACAAACACAAATATGTTGGAGCCTCTGATATAACTATTTGAGAACTGAACACTATGAATTAAAAAGTCTTTTAAACAGGAGTCAGTGCTGCATTAAGTTAGCTTGTTTGTGTCATTTACTTTTTGTTTGTAGGAAACCAGTGAACACTTCCTGGTGTTGTTCTCTTCTCACCTGCTTATCCTCTCCCTGGACCACTCTCGACAAGACTTCATTTATGAGGTAGTCTTTGTGCATTATACTTTAGGAGGTATCGCAGGTTGTCCACTAATCGTAAAGTTGGTGGTTTGATCCCCAGTTCCTCCAGTCTGCATGTCTAAGTGTCCTTGAGCAAGATATTGAACCCCAAATTGCTCCTAATGCCTGTTCCATCGAGTGTGCGTGAATGTATTAGTTTCTGTTTTTGATGAGCAGATGGCACCTTGCATGACAGCCTCTGCCATCAGTGCATGAGTGTGTGTGTGAATGGGTGAATGCTAACTTATAGCGTTAAACACTTTGAATTGTCGGAAGGCTAGAAAGGCGCTAAATAAGTGCAGTCAATTTACCATTTACAAGGAAACAGACAAACCTATACTAGTACTCAGACAAGAAGTCCTGAACATGAACACAGGACACAATAAAATTTAAATTAAAGCTACAGTTAATTAATTCTTGCGCAGCTGAGCGATTATTGGTAAGTTGCTGGCTAAGCTTCAACCACATATTAATGCTGCACTAATCAATA